AAGAAGTGTTGAAACACAGCTATCCACTGCCAGGGAGGAGCAGCAAAGAGGGGCTCAAAATAATTCAGTCAGGTTGTTTTCTTGGCTCGCCAAGGTCTAGCTCTGTGTGGCCATGGCAGTGGTGAAGGCAAACTAAGGTAGCTTCTGCAGTTCAGATCAGAGGATGATGATGTGCTGAAGAGATGGCTCAGTAAGAACTCAAACAATTACACAGATGCTGAAATTCAAAATGTGATTTTGAATACCGTGGCCAACGCCATCCTTAGGAAAATTGCAAATATTGCACAGGCCATATGTATCTGTTATGTGGATCATGATCGTGTGCCTCATGAAGACTTTACAGGTCTATATGAGGTGTCTTCAACAACAGGAAAGGATTTGGCTCAGTTGGCAACTGATGTCCTCCTGCAGTTGACTTGCTCTTGTCCTACGACCTAAGGTGGAGCTGCAAACATGTCCAGTGAAAGTAGGAGTTAAAGAAGTTCTCAGAGAGAAGCAACCTCCTCTTGCTTTGAATATCCATTGTGATCCTCAGTGTGTCATCCTTGTAAATCAGACAGCCTCAGCTCATCCCCTGTTATGTCTGATGCACTGAATCTGATCCATGAACTTGGCACTCTCAATCACCTGTCTGGAAAATATAAGACCGTTTTTAAAGAGACTGCCCAGTCTGAAGTTTCATTGTCCATCCAGCACCATCATTAATCTCTCAAAGCTCTATCACCTAACTTTTTGTTTAGTCTTCCTCTTGTACTGCTGTGCTCCTCAGCAAAAGCAGAACACAGTTTTAGTGCCTTAAGTAGACTTAACACCAGGTCCTGCTCATTCATGAGTCAATGTTGTTGTGAACAATGTGGGTGTCTGTCACGTCCACCAAGCTCTTTATCTGTAAATGACTTTAGAAAACATGTTTCTGAGCCTTCATTTAGTCCAGCATAAGAAAAGGAAGAATTTGTTTTAGTCTTTCGAACACAACAATCGAACTGTTGGTAGCAATGGGTAAAATGGTGAAAAAAGAACCAACATGCTTAGAAAGAAGGACATGAGTAAAAAAGAAAAACACAGGGGAAAGAAAGCAATAATGTAGGAAATAAGGGACACAAGAAGGAGGAAGGAAATAAACAATAAAGCAAGGAGAGAAGGAAGTTATTCAGGATACATGGATAGAAGAAAGGAAGCAAGAGGACGGTAAGATGGCAAATGAGAGAAGGAAAGAGATGAAATGAAGAGGTAAAGAGGGAACAAGTGAAGTAAGCAAGGAAACAAAAAGGGATGAAGGAAACAATTAAAACAATGAAGGAGGTGCTAAGGCAGGGAGGAGCTACAGTGCCACCATTACTGGGCGCCGACTAATTGTGTGAGGTTGCAAGATAATAATTCATTATTTAGGTAAATGCAATAGTTTCATAACCTATTACTAATATTTCACAACCTGTCCAAGAGCAGTAAGGAGACACCCATTTCTGCCCTCTCAGTCCAATGAGGAAGAGCCACAACAATGTTAGTCTCTGTTGTTCTCACCATCAATCAGTTTCTTCGTCAGACTGTGATCCTTTCTCTGAACCCTGAGTTTCTTTTTTTATTGGGAGCATCAGAAACTTTTCTTAGTTTTTACACCACAGGCTCCTCCCTACTGCTGCTGTAGCTGTTTCATCTCCGTGGCGACGATTGCACCTCCTGACACCATGTTCTGTTATCTATATGTGCACTGTGAACATATCTGGAGGCTCAACACAAGCACCTGACAGACAGCTGTATGTTGTTCCCTGGATTTTTTGAAGGGGGACACATAATACAGCTGTCTGCCCAGTGCTTAATTGAGCCTTCACAAATCTTTACACTATGACAGCAGAACACCCTCTTCAACTCTGGCAAACTCGATGATTGATGTAAAACACATTACAACCAGTGCACAGCACAGGAAAGTCACCACAGACACCAGATTTAAAACTCTGGTATACTGCAGAACACAGATTTACCTGTGGGCGTAATCAGCACTGTGTGAACTCGTTTGGCGAGAGCTTGAATGATAAACCTCCTGTTCACCTCCTGCCCAGCAACAAATGACAAAATTAGTGACCAGCAGGTGAACTCAGTGGAGCACAGCTGCTACACAGCAGATACTTCTGACAAAAACAGAACTAAAAGGAGACTGAATATTGTGCTAATATGTGTCAACTGGACAGACACATGACTCAAAATGAAAGCTAATGTCTCAGTGTCTGCTGGACGAGTAAGTTGACAAATATTTACTAATACATTAGCCATGATAAAGTTAGAAGCTGGGGATATGTGGTGGCTGTATGTTTGCTAGCTTGTTTTGACGTTCTGTGCCCCCAGTGGACAAAGATGATTAATGCAACCTTAAACATTCTTTTAATGACAATAGGAACAGCTGTACAGGATGGATGTTTCTCTACCTGATGAGCTTCTGATCCATGTTTTCACACACTCCTGCAGTGAGAGCTCAGCTCTGCTTTTGATCATTATATTCCCCTGCTGTGTCTCTATGCAGAGATACACAGTGAATAATGCAGGAGGCCAAAATCAAACCTTTTGAGTCCATGTCCTCCATAGAAATGATCTTGTAAAGTGTTAAACATTGAAACAAAATGGCACCACACAGTGGCCCAGAGAGCTCAACATGCTGCAGCTTAAGAAAACGTTCAAATACTCATAACACAACCAAATGGACAAATGTGCAACAAGTAGCACAAACGACAATGTGTTTCCAAGGGACACAAAAAGGTGATGGACCTGGCTGGGATGCACTTATTGGCCCAGTCCAATTCCTATCTGGCCCCTGCACCCTCCCACTCTGTGACAGAATGTAACTCTTTGAGGACTCACACTTGCGAGTGTTGAAGGTCTCTTCATTAACGGGGAGGGTTTGGGAATACAAAGTAACACAGAGTTTTGGGACACTCTCGTGTTCTCCAACAGAAACTGGAAGCACGTTGTTACCAATGGCATAATTGTCCATAGTGCAGCCATTGCACTGCACTGAGGCCCAGTAGCTGTCAGGGGTCCATCACACTTGGGATTATGAGTCATAGTCTTTAAGTGCGTTGGACTTAATGCGGCACTGCACTGACTTGAAGTAATGCATGCTGGTTAGAAATTTTGACTTTCGCCGGGTCTGCGCTGCGCAGCGTCACCATGTCACATGACATTAAAACATCCCAGGAACAAGGCGCCTTCAGAGTCAGGTGCTGCAGTGTCTCTCCTCTGGCTGTAACGGCCACCTCTGTGACGACAGCGGTTTATCATGATTGGCTGAAGGCTTCACTGACACACATAACATGATCCTCTTTTATGCTTCTCTCAGTTTATTTAATCTCATTCTGGCAGCTCATTTTTAAAAAAAATATGGACAGCAACATTATGGTTTTTCATTTCAGAAAGCTAAAACTGTATATTTTTATTATTGTTTGCATTATTATTTCAAGAAACTAATGAAATTTTTTGGTCTAAAAATATCATAAAATATCGAAAAATTGCATCAGATCCATCAGGACATCTTCAGATATTCAGTCTAACTGTCTTGAAAAGAGAAAAAAAGAGAAAGTCCTCACAAGCAGGACCCCGAGGATTTTCAGCATCACAGCAGTGAATACATTTTCAAAATAGTTGCAAGTTATTTTTCTGTGGATCAACTAATTGATTCAACTTTAAATCAAATAAATAAATTGGGGAATATAAATTAAATTGGTAAATAATATTTTCAGTGTTCTTACAGTGTGATGGTCAGCTGACGTCCTGCATCATTTCCTGTTGGTCCAGTACATTCAGTCAGACCAGAGCTCTGTCCATACTGGCATCTGATGTGTCTGAGCATATGTAAAACTGGGACACAGTTGGTTTGTGTCTATCAGGGTCTGTGTATGAGCTTCTAATTGGTGAGTACAGGGACTTAAATCTACAGCGGTGTAACTGTTACCTCTCATATGTTGATGTATGAAAATACATACATTTGAACCAGATGAAGGATTTTAGTCGCCGGACGTCTGGATCTGAAGTTATCAGAGAAACAAGCTGAGGAAATGTTAGACAGCTCAGCTCCCAGCTGCTGGAGACGTCCTGTCCTGTGTCACTGAAGAGTGTCGGTGAATCTCTGCTTTTTAAAGGTAAACTGCTTTATAGGTGTTTCTACTGGTTTTAATCTCCTGGTGTGTTTGTTATGGAGAGGAGGACACCTCTGTGGATAATTCAGCTGCTGGTAAAAACCTGCTGATGTACTGAGTTGTGGTCGTCACAGTATAGCAGATGAATCTGAGAGAGAGAGAGAGAGAGAGAACTAAAGAGAGAGAGTCAAGAGGTTAGTGATGAAAGTGTGCCATTTCTTAGACACTCCCCAGGGAAACACATACCAGTGGCACTTCTGCTGTGTCTGTCTCTAAGTGGCTCTAAAAGCCTGTAGGAGACACCACTCCCACTAATCTTAATGGCGGATCATCTCTCTCACACACAGTTCAAGTGGCCAGGACACACACTCACAAAGTCTCTCTCTGTCTCTCAAACATCCAGCATAAGACTGACGGTGGAGCAGAGTTTATGAAGAATCAGCTTGGTCACATCTGATCACAGCTTTGCTCTCCTGTGAGTTGAGGAGGAGAACGAACTGGTCACAGAACCAGATCCAGGTCTGTGTGAGAGGGAGAGACATGCACACACGCTGTTGAGTTACACATCAGGTCTCTGAGTCTGTGGCTATCTGAAAGCACAGACTTGGGTGGCATTGTGTTGTTTTTTGGTTCAGTGTAAACAAGCAAAAGCGGCAGAACGAGGGGTCTTCTTAACGAGTGTGTAGAGGGATCTGTGTCTGTCACACTGTGTGTGTGTGTGTGTGTGTGTGTGTGTGTGCGTGTGTGTGTGCTACAGATTTGGTGCATGTTCATGATCTTACTGTAATATTATTCTCTTGCACTTCACCGAGATAATGAGTCATTGAAATTCTCTCTCTCTGTGTGTGTGTGTGTGTGTGTGTGTGTTATCGTCAGTGTGCAGAGAGTCAGCCGGAGAGTGCAGTGTTCCTGCCGGAGTTCGCCCTCTCACCTCAGGGCAGTTTCATGGAGGACGCCACAGAGGATCAGTTTCTAACCTACAGATACGACGACCAGGTCGGTCACTCACGCTTCACTGCTGCTTCACCTCAAAAAACCCCAGTGTTGCTTTTTGCGTTACTAGAACCTGCTGTCAGCATCAGTAAAGTTATATTGTTAATCATAACTAATCAGGTTGCATCTTATATATGTCATACTTAAGGTTTTTATTACTATGATACAAGAGAAAATTCACATTAATTAAATATGTGCAGTGCTGCAACAAACTGAGCTAACACAGTGTCAGCTCACCACTGAGGTACAACATGCTGCCATAAATTCTGTCCTGATGTGTTAATGATAGTAGTTCTGTCGGACATTTAATGTGCTGGATTGGATTTATATGGATTTATGGTATGCTTGTCTGATCTTTTTAGTTCTGCAATTTTATGACACAGAGCTTCAGTTGGTCAGGCTAACTCAAGCCAAGCTTTTCAAAACAAGCCCTGCTTTTCTGAGCCTTGTTTTGGTACACCTCCAGAAAACCTCAGTTGGGTAAATTTTATTGAAAATGACCCCTGTTGTGTAGACAAACACACAGACTCAAACATGCACACACGTGTTTAAGCTCCATGTAGCCCCATGTTGAGTGTTGGATCAGAAGCTGGTAGAGGACTGTAGGTTCTCTGATCTACATCTTACTCACTACAGCAGGCTGTAGGAGCTGGGTGTGCTAACTAATGCATGCTCCAGTTATTACACCTTGTCAGTGCACCGCAGGTGCATTTATGTGTCAGCAGCGCTGCCTACTGTGTTTTTCCCACCAAGATGCTTATTAATGCTCTGTCACTTTCTAGTTCACTGTCTGTCCTACATTCTGCTTCATGTGGGTGTAGAGCGCCAGCTAGCAGATCAGCTGAATAGTTAGCAGATCAGCTGGGTAGTTAGCAGATCAGCTGAATAGTTAGCAGATCAGCTGGGTAGTTAGCAGATCAGCTGAATAGTTAGCAGATCAGCTGGGTAGTACTTAGAGTAAAGGTCCCATGAAGCTTCCAGCCATCTCCAGATAAAAAATACATTTTAATTTCAGTGTATCACAATCCAAAGAGGATCTGATGTGTTGTTGTGATTCATTCACCTAACATAGGATGCAGACTGTCTCCTTCTTTCCTTTGGCACTTTTATAATCCCCTCCTCCTCCACTGACACTGTGTTTACACAGAATTTGTAGCATGAACAGCACATGAGAAGAGCAGCAGCAGCTTAATGCTCCATCTGTATCTAGTGATGTGTTGTAGATCACCTGCTCAATACACAATCAGAGTAGTTACGTGCATAAAATACAGGAGAATAAAAAAGCATGAAAATGCACATTGATTCATGTGTGCAGGCAAATGGCGTGAGTGAAACAAGCCACTACGCAGCTGTGGAGACAGCTGGATTGATTAAAACAGGAGCATATTTGTTCCATCAATCGCATAGCTGAAACACTTCCTGTGTAGTTGGGGCAGGTCACCTGAAAAGACAGGAGGAGGAGCCAAAAGTTCTTGGTACAAGATATATTCCTTTATTTCCATATTTTTGATAACAGTGATCTTTGACTATTGTCACCAATACATGCTGTGAACACTTGATATTAGAACTGAACAATTAATCAAAATATTTTTAAAATATGATGATGTGCAATATCACATCATCATTGTCATTTTTATGTGTTTCAGTGAGAATTAAATGTAAAAAATGATCATTCCAACTGAAATAGTGACTCATCTAGTTAGCTCCCTGGCTGGGTTGATCTGGCCTGACCTGATCCAAGTGGCTGCTCCACCGCTCCCCCCTCTTTAGCCATAACCATTGTACTACAAATCTTAAGGCATTCCTGACCTGTGATCCCAGGAGTTTTAAGTGTCCAGGGATCTTCTCCTCTCACCTCCACTGGCAGACATATATGATAATCACAAAGATGAAAATAATAATGAAATGAGCAGTGTGATGAGTTGGCAGTGGTGGGAGAGAATATGTTATGGCTATACAGCTAATGATACTACGTCTACGAATGATATCTGATGATTAAATATTACTATATTTCGACATCAACCCCATCATGAGTGTTAAGACCGGCCTACTGTGAGTTGTGCTGTAGCTGGAGACCCTTGGCTATGACCCAGGTGGCTGTGGTTGCCATGGTAACCCTGGAGACACAGGATCTAGGTGGATTCTCCTGGAAGCCGTGTCCCATTATCACGGTGACGGATTCTGCCGGTGTCTCAGGAGTTTGGCTCTGGTGGAGTTTGCCAGGAGACTTTCTGTCTCGGCCACTCTTGATTTCTGCTCGGCTTCTCTGCAGGCGGTCGTGCAGATGTGTTATGTGCTGGTCTCTCTTGCGGGTTGATGCGAAATAAACTCTAAGTGCTTAACTTTGGTGGATAACTAAAGGAGACTGGTGTTGGCCAGATAACTCTAAAACTGTCAAAAACCTTCAAAAAATTTGATGACAATTAAAAAGTTACAAAATTACTCTGAAGCACTTCTGTTGTTTTGGTTCAGTTGGTTTTGACTTGGCTCATAAAAGATAAAGAATATAAAAGATCACGCATGTAGACAAACAGGATGTTACTTGGAGCCTGTGGCAAAGAAAGAATAAAGGATACGGACGAAAGTGCAAAATGGCAAAAAGGCTAAGAGCTGATGACATAGAGCCAATAACTTAGAGCCAAATAACTAAGAGCCATGTCTGAAAGCTAGGAAATAAGAGCAATGTGTGAATTGATCACAACTGTTTTATCCCCTTTAATTCTAGAGTTTACCTATAAACTCACATCTTCCACTATGACCATAAAACATTAAATGAATGGAACCATCACATGCTTTATAGAACAGTTAGATATTTCATTTTATATTCTTCCTTAGATCTGTGTCTGTGAAGAGTGTTCTTCTGGTCACTGCTCAGGATTGGAATGTGGGTTGCAGTTTATGACTCTTATATTGAGAGGGGCAGAGTGAAAGGGCAAAAGACTAGTTTGTGTGTGTGTGTGTGTGTGTGTGTATTCAAGCATGGCACAGAGAGGACAGGATTCACACATTAGTCATAATCAGTCCTTTTGATGTTACTTTTCTATATAATTAACAAGCAAATATCAATAGACAGGGTCTTATTGTTACAAACTGGAGATTTTGCCTATGCTCTCCAGTTTGCCTGGTCCAACCCTTACAGGGTCGTCGGAACCGGGCTCTTCCCTCTACCCTAACCAAACATCCCCAAACGAAACCCTTAACAACAGAAATAAAGCCGCAAACACTGAACCACTGGACCCACCAGAAAAGGGTAAAGGAAAAAATACAACGAAAAGCTACATTTGGTCACTCTGCTGCTGCTGCTGTTGTCAGGCCAGGAATGAAAAGAGACAAAACTAGAGTCCTCTCCCTCTCTTTATTGGCTCCTCAATCAACCTGAGCAGCATCACCTGGAGAGAGGAAAAACACAGACCATGAGTCAGTGACATTGGAGGATCACATGATCAGAAGGGGGGGGGCATGTAACCATAGGGCACTGTTGTTTTCAGTAATGTTACTCAAACAGGAGGTTATAGTGCATTTGTTGGAGACTGTTTTCATTGGCAGATTAATACACACACACACACACACACACACACACACACACACACACACACACACACACACACATACACTAGTGAGTATTTCTGGCAGCAGGACAGTGTATGTGTGACTGAGTCAAACTGTTTGGATGATAGTGGAGCACTAAGCATCTTATGACAGAGATTAGGGAACTTGTTGCTGTATTGCACTGATGATTACAAAATACCCACATTCTTAAATGCCCACTTTATAGTTTAGTTACCCACACACATTCACACAGAACTAGCTTCCACTCATCCATAAGCTATACAGCTTCTTCTTGAGGGCCAATCCCAGCTGACACTGGGTGAGCGGTGGGATTCACCCTGGACAGGTAGCCAGTCTATCACAGAGCCGACACAGAGACAAACAACCCGTCACATTCATATTCCCACATACAGGTGGTTTAGAGTCTCCAATCAACATAAACCTAACCTACAGGTCTGTGGACTGTGAGAGGACCACACAGGAAGAACATGCACACTCCACACAGAAAGGTGCAACCATGCAATTTAAAGGTTGAACACAGAACCTTTCACGCCTGTTGGTTCAAGGGGAAACTGAGATTAAGGCTTGTATTTTGCGTACTGTGCACTGTGTAGTTCTGTGGGCTTTGATGAGGAGAGCCAGCTAATTTTCCACTCTGCTGCCGTTTGAAAAAATGCTTAAAAATGCAAATTGTTTTGCAAGCATTTCTCTACTCTGAGTCCTCAGTATGTTGTGGCAGAGGGTATTGGGTTTACAGCCACACACACTGTTCTCCTTAAAATTTCTGTAATATCAAGAATTTTCTTTTTTTCTTCTTTTTGATTCAATAACGCAGCACAGTGCAGTAAAGTGATCCATCTGGCATTGGAGTGCGGTTAATAAGGAGATCTCGCAGCACGGCCTTGGACACTCATCCACATAAATTAGGTTAAGGACTTGATAGTACATTATGTTTTGAAAGCCTTGCAGCTGACAAATATCATACAAATGATCCCTAACGAAACACAGAAAACTTGTTTGGAGAGATTCTACCTGGATAGGATGTGTGGAGTTCTCTGGCTGTCTGCAGTGCTCAGCGTTGTTGTTGTTCTGCTGTTACAGCCTTGTATTGCAGCTATGGCTGCACAAAGGTTGAGGATGACATTATGTTTCTGTGAGGAAATGTTTGAGCAGTTTAAAAATAGAGCCCAGTGCATGAAGCACCGCTTTCTGTAGGGCTTTTACATTCAGAGAGGAATGAACTTCCTTCTTTAAATGACTTTTACTGCTTTTCTTTCCAGAGCAGATGGACTCTTTTGAAACATTTAACAGGGTCTTGCAGCCACTTCATGTAGCCCAAATCATCCAAGTGTGTGGCACTGGAGTTGAAGGGATTAGTTAAAGAGGGATAGGGTCACTGAAGTTCACTGAACTCACTGTCATGTTGATGACACCAATTTGTGATGTGGAGCATT